TGAATTCCTTTAGCCCTCCCTTAACACGGCGGTTAAGTTCCTAGAAAACCTAGTTCTAAGACATGGATTCAATACAAAATATGGGATTATGTTCCTAGATTTCATCAAGTTTCTGATGTTTTTAAGGTCCAAACATTTTCAAAATTAACAAAAAATTATGAATATTGAAATGTTGAATATTTATCGTTACCAGATTCATATTATTAAAATGGAAAATATTTTTAAGCGTAATATATGTTAAAGCAGCTGGCAAGTGGCATTATATTCTAATTAAAAGCCGTTTTCGTGCTAAACATTTTTTTTCTTGTTGTAGTCCTCTCGCTTGCAAAAGAATTGGTTTTGCGATTGTTTATTGGCTTTTAATCGATTTTTGTAGAACACTTTATAAAGTAAAAGTATTTTTTCCTACTCTCTCATAAACTGGAATAGTCTTTTCAACCTGCTATGCGAATCTTTCTTGAAGTTTTTCTATCATATAAGAAGGAGGTTTTCAGTGTGTTGAAAAAGAAAAACAGCAGATTTTTAATCATATTAAAAGACATCTTGTAAAGCCAGTGCTAGGTTAACTTCATTTAAACAATATTTGTAAATTATAAATCAATAAAACTCAACTGCATTTATTATGCTTTGATGCAAGATTTGCGACAAATAGAAACAAACTCCAACCTTCTTCCGGTCTCTCAAAGCCACAGTCCACTGCCGCTTCAATACTCATCAGTCTCCTCACTCTTTTCTCTGGTCGCGGTGTGTTAATTAAATAGGCGTAGGGGCTACGTGAAAATAAAGTACAATAACTAGCGCAACAATGTGCTGGCCAGTTGATTTGGTGTGTCTGATTGGCAAATTTTATGGAGCACTTCAGCAGCGCTCACTCATTCACCAATGCGATCGAAAAACAAAAAACAAAACAAAAGGCCCGACTCCGAAAACTGAAGGAAATGAAAAAATGCATCTGCAAATCAGTCAGCAACTGTAGCCAAAAACAGACGCGGTCCAAGGTGTCGGCATCGTTGTCGGTGTCGGTGTCGGTGTCGGTGTCGGTGACGGTGTCGGTGCCAGTGTCTGTTATCGACGGCGGACCTCGAGCCTAGGTGCCAGCTAGCTTGGAGTATCGCATGCCGTGGCCAAGACTGGCAGCCAAAGGCCGCCTGAAGTTGAGAATTGGCGCGGCACCGCGTGAAACTCGCGAGCGCTCCACAATGTGCCACAAATTTATGACACTACTAAAAATAGTAGTAGTAGTAGTCGTAGTAGTCGTTGTGGTAAATGGTAGTGAGTTCAAATACTGGCGCTGTTTATAAGCATATACAGACCTATATCTATCTACAGCCTCCTTACGTTACGGTTGCGGCTTCGGCTGCTGTTTTAGTAATTGTTGTTGTTGTTGTTGTTGCTGGCGTTGTAAATGCTGCAAGTTACATTATGTTGTCTTTGTTTCTGGTGCGCATTACATGAAAATTATATGCAACTGAAAATGCCATTTAAAAGCAGATAAATAAAGTTAATGCCAAGTCTGGCAGGAAAGCAGCCTGCCAGTCTGCCAGTCCGGCCGAGCCTTGTGACATGCGAAGGCTGCAAAGTGTCGTGCAGGGATATTTATGTGCGTACGTTATATTGCCGTGTGGCAAGCTCCTTTTTCTTCCCCATCTTGCGAGTGTCCTGCGGCGCAGCTGGCGTTGCACGTAGAATGTCAAACAGAAGACTCAGATATACATTGTAGCTTTGCTTTGACGAAACTTTCTGTATTGGCTTACAGTTAATGTTATTTATAGGCAATCACAGGTTTTTAATCGTCCATCTACGATTAGTTTATTCTACAAAGAGTGATTTTATAAACAATCTGTCCGATGGCAGCTAAAGAAACTAATCAGGCTATATACGGTTTGTAATGGATACATACAGGGTGCGCCATCTTTTATGTCGGTATGCAAACATTGAATATTCTTGAAAATAAACAACCGATTTTCAAGTATGAGATATTTTTATTTAATTTGGTTCTGTACAGTTTCTTGAACTGAGGTTTTCAACACTGGTCTACTCAAGTCAATCGGTTCACTAATGACAAAGTTATTCAATATCTACATAAAGATGGCGCACCCTGTATGGATAACGCAAGTCTGCTTCGCAAGTTTGGTGTCCCTAGCTGTTATCGGAGTTATCTATGTTCATACTAGAGATGGAATAACTGAAATAAACCTTTAGAAAACGGCACGCTCACACACGACAAAAATTATTCTAAACGGTGCCCAACACGAACCTGTTATAACCATTAAATGAAAACGACAAATTTATTAATATTAAGCACTACAAATTTGTATTAAGAAATACAAATTTACTGATCTATATTTGAGCTAAGAAGTCGATCTCGTCGCTCATTTAAAATTTGTCCATAAATTGAAAAACCTCGTTCACTTGTTTGAAGAGCTGACAGGGATATTGAGTACACTTAATTCTGTTTTAACACGGTCTTTTTTTACACTATTTTGATTTAACACGGATTGAAAATTAAATATTTTATTTATGGTTGCACGACTTTATTCCATTTAGCACGATTCAAAATAATATATGGGCAATGACTATTTTACACGGTTTTTTTTAAGCGTCTTTTTCAGGAACGGTGTAAAAACAGAATTAGGTGTATATATCTTGATATTTGCCTTAGCAATTCAAAATTTGTTGTTTTTTTTTCAGTTAACCCACAAATTCCTAGATCAAGAACACTACAATAGTTAAATATTCTTGACGTGCCCAGAAAAATTTGTTTAATTATTGGTGTCAAAAAATTAAAAAAAAAGTTGTGTTTCTATTAGATGCTTGGTTTTCTTATACAAATATTAAATCGCTACTTAAGACATAATTCCCTTTTTATTCCGATCCGTAAAAAATATAATATATAAAATTAACTCCAACAATTGAACTGAATAAACACTAAAAGCGATTTAATTTCCGATATATTGCCCAACATTCGATTTTTTATTACTTTATTATTTGTTTATTTGTATTAAATTTTGTAGAATATACCAAATTTAGTGTTGGATATAAATTAATTGAATAATTAATATATTCCAAACTGGTATACATAGTTGAGTTATAATTAAAGTTTTATTAATGTAATGTAGCAAATACTAATTTCTTAAGAATATGCTGTTGTCCCATCCACCCTACTCTCCAGATTTTCGTTTGAGTCGAATGACAGGTTATCACCACCAAGAAGGTCTACTTTGCAGACCTCCCGAAAAAGCCTTTTTTAGACGGGTTAAAAAAATTGGAGATAAATCGGGACTTTTCAAAAATGTTGGTTTTTCTTTTTTCTTTCTTCCAATAAATGCTAGAATTAAGAAATTTACTTCTTAACACAACAATCAACAGAAAATGTATTTGTATTGCAATATGGGAAAAAATGTATTCAGTAGGATCAGACTTATCGAGGCATTATATTTTTAAATTTCCATTGGAACTGTTGTTATTGTTCAGTTACTTTAAAGTCGACATATCTGTGTTTAAATGCTCAATTGATTGGCAATAAAATACATATACGGGTATTACCAATGACTCACAGACTTTTAAAACAATTTCAACACTGTACCAGCCCCTTTAATTTTTGTTGTTAGATTGCTGGAATTCTTGGCTGAAATTCCAGCCACAGCTTTTGTGTGGGTACATTAAAAAAAAAATTGAAAAAAAACTTGATACACCTTCAATACCGTTAAGGGCAAAAATTGGCTTGCGTGCAACAAACTAGCGTCTGCGTCCAGAGACTACTTTAAGCTGCATACGCTAAATGGTACTCAAAGGAAGCAATAAATAACAATTAATTGTATTATTAAACTAATTCGGCCAACCTGAAACGCTGGTCGATGCTTGATGGCTGATGGTTCATGTTACTCGATGGCTTGCCATCAGTCATGCGATAAATTTTGGGCACATAAATATGGTAGCGCATTGAGCTCTGCAACATAAACGCTCGCTAATTTACATTTTGAGGCAGAAAGGCAGTAAGGCTGGCTGGTTTGATGGCAGGCAACAAAAGTAAAAGTTGGTTGCGAACGTTGTTTCTAAAATTGCGCCCTCGGGCTTTCAAAGGCCGAGCCGGGCAATCAATTATTGAATCAGTCAATGATCAGCAAGGAGCTGTTGGTGTCGCTGCCGTTGCCGTAGCCGTTGCTGACACAACACGCATTTCACGCAAAAACTTTTGGACGTACCTAAATGGTTCCCAGACGCGGGCGAGAGTCGCACCAATCGTCCAAAAGATACAAATAATAGCAATAATTAATACAGATATGTTGTCTTGGTGTGTGTCGCAAAACAGAAACAAGTAATCACGGCTCATACATACAAACAAAACTTGCACTTATGTAATGTACTTATACCCAGCGCTAAAAGATAAACGGAACTCTAACCCATTTTTAATTGCGATTTTGAAAAAATATTAAATCAGATTCAGATGTTGAATTTGAACCATGGGCTTACCACATATGTACATACAAATCCGACTACAGCCCTCTATACTTTTCGTAATTTCTGAGTTTTGTAGGCCTGAACCACTTTTGAACCAGTTCTGTGCCATTTTTAATTCGGACCACCTTTCAAACCATATAATTAATGAGTTTTCAATAGTAATAATCGCATCTAATAACATAATTCTTCTCAAACTAACCTACTTCTAAAATTTAAGCTTAAATATTTACCTATATAAAAAAGTTATAAAATTAAAGTTATTATTATTATTATTTTCTACCCATAAAAAATCAGTATAAGAAAGCTCAGGGCTTATACAAATCAATCGCTCACAATTCGTGTAACGCACTAAACCATTTAGGAATCTAACATTTAGTTTAAAAAGTTAGTTTAATATTTTATCTTTGACCTTAGACCTTAAGTTCAGGAAAATTCAAATCCATTCATACAATAACAGAATATTACTTGTAGATAAATAAATAAATCTGGTTTGTTGTCATTTATTATTTTTTTCTTAAGTTTAGCGAAAAGTCTTTGACTGACCTTCTTCTTCTTTATTCTTTTTGAAAATTGTTTTATTGAAATGTTAAACGAATAGTGTGAAATTATTATACTGTTGGGAATTTGTGGGTACAGTGGAGAAAAAGCTTCAAAAACAGCTGGATTTCTATTTACGCTTCAGCAAAGATGCCATCGTCTTCTCTATGAAGGGTCTCACGTAGTAGACATCAGTGTAGACACCAGGAAATTTGTGGCTGGCACAACCAATGCCGAAGGACACAATTCCACAAAGTTGCTTTCCATAGACCATGGGACCGCCAGAGTCAAATGTGCAGGCATCCTTTTGTCCCAACACCCCAGCACAGAACATACTATCCGTCAGAAACACCGATGCGCGATATGTTTTCTTGCACTGCTTCTTCTGAAGAATCGGAACAACGACGCTGCGTAGATGCATATGTGGAGTGGAAGCATTAGGATCGATCAGCCCCCAACCGGAGACTCTGAGATGTTCTCCAGCGGGCAGATGCTTACTACACAGCGACAGCGGGTTTATAGACTTGCCCCTAATGGGCTTCCGCAACAACAGCACAGCCACATCCATGTGCATATCATCCTCACGGAACGCTGCTGGCCTAACGACATCGACCAAGCCCACCCTAACGCCTGTTTCGCTCAGCGTACTGATGTTGCCCTCAATGATCCATTGATTCTTGAGGCCGCGTCCGATAAAACAATGAGCCGCAGAGACAACAATGCGATCGTTGATCAGCGTGCCGCCGCAGATAAATTCCCCACGATAACGCAAGGCCACCAGGTAGCCCCCAAGTTTTTGGTTCGTCATAGATTCGCCGCCAATGACACGCCGGTGAATATCCGATGGTAGCGCCACCTTCGCCAGCTCTGCACCATCTATCTCCTGCTCAGCCAAGGCAGAATGTCCACAAGTGTGTAGCAATATTATCCAACTGACCAGCAAGGGACACAACAAAAGTTGAAGATACATATTTGCCAATGCCCTATACCAGCTAAGACTTCTTAGTGACCCAGAAAGAGACTTATGCAATGCGCGACAAGAGCGACTATAAGTCGATTAGGTACCGCTTATTAAATGGTACTAAAAACACCACAGAATATTTTAGTTCAATTTCAAGCTTGACTAAAACTATTTGTGAAATATTTTTCTAGTTGTGGTTGCTTAATGTGTAAACATCTGGCGTATATAATACCATCGACTTGTAGACTTTTGACCTGCAAAAAACTGCCGTATATTCATCTGGCGTGTAGACATGTGACTTGTAGACATCTGACTTGTAGATATCTGAATTGTAGACATCTGACGTTTAGTCTTCTGACGTTTAGTCTTCCGACGTTTAGTCTTCTGACGTTTAGTCTTCTGACGTTTAGTCTTCTGACGTTTAGTCTTCTGACGTTTAGTCTTCTGACGTTTAGTCTTCTGACGTTTAGTCTTCTGACGTTTAGTCTTCTGACGTTTAGTCTTCTGACGTATAGCCATCTGTCGTATAGTATTCTGACGTATAGTCATCTGACGTATAGTCATCTGACGTATACTCATCTAACTTATAGTCACCTGACGTATAGTCATCTGACGTATAGTCATCTGACGTATAGTCATCTGACGTATAGTCATCTGACGTATAGTCATCTGACGTATAGTCATCTGACGTATAGTCATCTGACGTATAGTCATCTGACGTATAGTCATCTGACGTATAGTCATCTAACTTGTAGACATCTACCGTGTAGTCATCTATCGTGTAGAAATCTCACTTTTACACATATGCCTTCTAGACATCTATTGAGTAAAGCTTTGTAGTAAAACATTTCAAAATCTTTGCTCTAATCCCTTAATCTAAAAATCACGTTTTAAATTATATCCTTTTAAAATTAATAAAACACTAAATTATATCTGATGTGTATTAAGGAAAATCTAACTTCCAATAATAATAGATAATATAGATAATATAGTAGTTAATACATACACGAGTCAAATTTTTACTTCCTTATTTACACTAATCATATTAAATATGCATTAATTAACTGTTAGATTTTGAATTATTTAAAAATAAACGCATTTATGCTTAAATCAATTACAAAATGCCTTAAATGTAATGCGAATTCCTTTTATTCTTTGTATAACGCTAGCTATGAGGGAACGTAACTCTACATTTTAACTTAACGCTGAGTCTACTCTACAGTTCAAAAGTCAACTGAAAATGGTCATAAATAAATGAAGTTCTTGGCGGCAACGGCAAACCGCCAACGACAACGCAGCTAACATTGCAATTGAGTTTAATTGCTGTTAATTAAAAGAGTCAGAGGCATTTTAGTCATCAACGATTAGAGTTTTATTCATGTGTAGTGTAAGGCTAGGAGAAACTCAGCGGCTTGATCTCGGTCAGCAACTTTCTAATATAGTACATTAGTCTGGGGTCACGATTTCGCACATCTGTGGCATGAGGATACATGGAATTGATTAAATGGTGCAAATCCGAATACATCTGTAAGAGAAAAAATCAATTCTATACCATTATTTATACACAATTATTTTGTGGCTGAGGCGAAATTGTTATCCTATTTCAAACTAAATAGATTTAAGGATTGTAAAATGTTTCAGCTTCAACTTATGTCTATGTTCTAACGTTATATGTAATTGTTTGAAATTTTAAAATATACTTGAAAGAGTGATGTTTTTCAACTTTATAAAGCTTGAAGGACAAAAACTTGGTTCCTGTAAGATAATATGTCCACTAGAACCAAGTTACTTGACCCATCGAAGGGAAATGAAAACGCTTTATTAACCATGGGAGTTACGGGAATTAATCAGTTTATCATCTACTTTGCTAATATCAATTATGGGACTTCTTTTTTGAGAATCTAAATCTGAATAGTAGACGATTTCTTTAATAAACTGAGAAAACCCATACTTTCGTTTTACTAATTTAAAACCCATCAGAATGGGTATCAGTAGTCTCAACCCGTAGTATAACCCTTTAACCGTTTTTTAATCGCCCCTATACTTAAATTGCTTGTAAACTGCACATTTCTACGACTACTTACGCCTATGTTTCGCCATGTCGGCTTATACTCCAATTTGAATACATCCAAGTCATCAGAGCAGAGCTCGGATATCTCCACAAATGTGGAATTGTCTGGAGTGACGCGCGTTGTGACTTGCGCATTTTCGGTCATATCTTTAGGATTGCGGAGGCAGAGCACAATGTTCCGACGCGTGGCCAAACGGTTCCAACTCGACCTCAAGAACTTCATCAACTTACAATGTACGGCGATCGCATCATACACATGCAACTCTGCGGCCAAATGCTTCTGGGAGAAGTATCCATTCTCAATATAGTACCCAGCATCATGTTCGGCAAATATATTAACATTGCGCTCACGAAACCGCTGTAGAAAATGCGGGAAATGTTATTATACAAGTATTCCAAAATAGTTTTAACTTATAGCTATCGATATTTTTCACGTATCGATAAACATTTATGCATCACTTCATTGCGCGCCTTTTTCTGCATTTCTCACCTTCTTGATTTCTAGAAAATCCGCTATGGGCTCCTCAATGGTCAAGTACTTGACCGGCTTGGCCACAAATTCCTTGACCAAATCAGTCACATAGCCCCGTATCCCCTTATTAGAGATGTACATAACAACACGCACATGGAATGTATCCAGAGTAAACAAGATTTCGTTACTTCTATAGATGGCAGCAGGATGTTTTAAGAACTACTACTACTACTACTATGCTACTATGCATATTCTCTTACCCCTCCTCAATGGGTGGCTGTACACACCAATCCCGGAAAGGAAAGTGCTCGTATCGCTTGTAGGCGAAACCAAACAGTCCCAAACGATCTGTTTTTATTGTAATTGTCAATTTCTCTTTGTCGAACTCGGTCTCCCTTATGTATTTGGTTGTCCAATGTTTGACTATTGGTCCAACTTTTTGAGACGGGCGGCGAGAGCTCGTGGACATTCTAGACTTTCTACTGGTTGGCTGAGAGATTTCGTCATGAAAACTGTCAACTTCAGGGACACGCAAGGACATTTCAACACTGGGTTGGGTGGCTAATGGCGAGGAATTAGGATCACGCTTTGTTAGGTCCGTTGAGGAGGTGTGTATAAAGCTTCGACTTCTTTTCCGTGATCCACTTCTGCCACGAATAGAAGAATACTCGCGAGCCGAACTGCTGGCTGGCTCAGATGTCTGCACCTGCTTTGGTGTCTTGTGCTTCACAACGAAATTCGGCTGGGCGGTAATTTGTTGATGCTTGTTCTCGTACCGCTCCTGCATTTCATTGAATGTATTAAGCATGCTAAACAATGTGGGCTCATCCATGTTTTTATCAGTTTGCGTCGGTTGGCCGTCATCTTCACTACTAGACTCGTGCTCCATGCTGCTTCTAAAGTACATCACTTTCTCGCGCCTGTCAAATACTGGATAGATGCTTTCGGGCCCATATTGGTCCACAAAATTAAACTCCACATTCTGATTTAGATCCAGCTCATGATCCACCTCTGTGCGACGTTTCAGCCTATTCTTTTTCTGTTTCACTAACAGCAGCTCCTCCAAGTCATCCTTGAACTCGTGCGGAAACTTGAAGGAGGGCAAAATTCTGGGCAACAAATGTCGTTGCAAATTGCGGATGTGTGCTGTCGTCAGCAACTTGCCTGTGAGTGGAAAATTCTTTATCGTCACGCTTGGCAAGATCGATGGTCGCAGTATTGTGCGTCGCAATGTGGCTAAAATAGTGGAGCGATAGATGTTCTGCGATTGTACTGCCCGACGATTAATGTACGAAGGATTTGGTCTACTTATGCGCTCAGGGGCAAGCGACGTATCGATATTAGCGGAGATTGAACTGACGCGTGGTGAATGCGGCGAAGTGTCTGGTAAACGCTTCTTTTGCTTCTTCTTCTTACTTGGAAGAGGTTCGTTTTCAGTCGTAGGCTCCTCCTCCACCACCCTTTCGGAGGGCTCCTCCATGAAATGGCAGGGCATAGGTACACCCCAGAGACACAAATGTCTGGGGAGCTTGAATGTAACAAAGAAATAGGGAACCTCGTCTGGACCTAGTCTCCACCCACCTTCTATGTGTTCGCTTAGCTGTACCATCTGCAGGCGAGACCGCAATGCTTGCTCCATTTGGGCCCCACTCAGCTGGGATGGCGCTTCACCCAGCAACGGTCCCATCACCTGCTCATCCCGACCCAAATCTGCGACAACATCCCGCAAACTAATCAATATGCGGCCATCGTCATGCAGCGTTATATTGAACTTCTGAAAGTCTGTGTGCTTAGGTTTGCATACAAAGATTAGGGAAAAAACTCCACCCAACATAATGTAGCGTCGCAGGTTGATCTGTCGAAGTTGAAATATTAAACGAATACTATGTGTCAGAGAATAAAGAGGTACCGGACCCGTATTCTTACCTCTTCACGCTCCAAGTTAAGTTTGTGTGGATGATAGATTTCATCAAGAAATTCAATATATTGCTTTTGCTCGCGATCCAAAAAAGCATTATATGGATCGGGAAACATGCCTGGCGGAACAACTGGTGCCTCCTTTATTGGTTTGTTCTTTGCTTCGTCCCTTTTTGATTTCGATTGGCTCTCCTTCGCCGCTTGGGCTCTGTAATATAATAGTAGTATGTATTATTATTTATAGGTATTTGCAAACTTTAACTCCGATATTATATCCTTACACTTACAACATATTTTCCTCATATTGCTTCAGCTTTCTTTCCAATTTGTCAAACATCTCTGTCTGTATTTCCACCTGCATGAGCCATTCGTTGATCAAACAGTCCTCAATGTTTGCAATACCAGCATTCAAATTATCTGTGGATATATCTATAACCTGTTCATAGCTTTTGCAATATTCTGTATAGTGATCGTAGAAAGCATGCACACATTGCAGCGTTAATTTGTCGGTAAGGATGCTTAGCGGCAATTGCACGGTAACACCGGTACATATCAGATCAGCAAACATTAGGGGTGGTCTACAGAAGGATCAAAATTCTGATTAATTACAATCGAAGTGAATAATAGTCCCACTAAACTAAACATAGCAGTTCAACTAAAGATTCTCCCAATCCCCCTATCCTACGACCACATAAGCAACGGTTAAATAAGTCGACAATCGGATAACGACTCAAAAAAAAAAAAAAATCGTAGAGAACTTATTAGTCAGTCATGCTGATCAATATTATAGATGGTATATGTTTTGTGGGGTCTGTCACACCTCCTTCTGCCTCTTATATTTTTCACTTCCCGCAAACATAAAATAATCTTGTATCTTTCAGGTACAGAGTATATAAATTTGACTATAAATTTCTAGCCTGCGCCAGACTCTAGATAATCTACAAAAATATGTGCAATGTCAGTTTAGTCTAACCAGCCCCTGGAAATCACTTAGAATAACCATTCAATCATTATGCTTAAGCTTTTTTTATAATTGAGCAGAATCATCCGCATCTCTATAAAGACATCTATAAGTAATTTATATTCTGAGAAGATGTTAACTTTGTCGCGTAATAGACAGAGTAGGCAATATAATCTTATCTTAGCGACCCCTCTGTGTGTCGACTAGCTTCATTTTTTAGAACTGAGATGACCTTTTTAAATCGATATAACTGTAATTAGGTACTGCCAGAATTCTGAGCTTGTACCTCAAAAAAGTGTCTAAACTCAAAACTCACTCCATCTGCTTAAACCGCAATGGCACATCCCGCAAACACCATATGTGAAAATTGTAGCTGTCACTCTTGTAGCAATAGTTCGCTACAATGCCATCCTTCGAGCTATATAGTATAGGAAAAAGGTTCATGATAAGTATAACCTATACAGTATGTTATGATTTGCTTGCTTACACCATATAGGCATCATCAGAGCATATAACACGATAGGTGAGTTTGTCGAGGAGTATTTCTATTTCTCGCTGAAGCTCGGCTCGCATCTATTGTAAAGATGTGAAAGATCTTAGCTCGAAGCTCAAAATAGAAAAAAAAATAATAAGAAACCACGTACTGCAACAATTTCCAAGGCTCGAGCCAACTCAATGCTGCTCATTTCCAGCTCGTTGTCCAGCATTATATTCATTTGGTTCAATGTGCTCAAAATACGTTGCACCCACATTTCGTAAATGGCTCCAATATTCGGGCTACTTTTGATCTGGGTTCTACGGGTTAAATCTTTGCAAAATATATCCTGTGTCAAGATGCTGCGCTCATTAATCGACAACGTCCAGTCAACGACATCGTGTCTGTTGATGTTCTCAAAGTGTCGGATCTCCTCTATGAACCGTCGTATATCAGGCGGATATTGTGGATGAGGCAAACCATCGCAACGCACATAATGATTCCAATGCTTCTCCCTAATCTGTTCCAGCTCTAGACTCTCATAATCTTTTGTGGCCTCTGAAATATCCGCAGATTCAGATACAGATACAGATTTTCACAGAATCTCCAACTCACCATCAATGAAGCTCAAGCATGTTTTCAAGTCGCGCAACCGCTGTAGATAACTTTGTTCTCGAGCTAACCAATCTGCCTCACTTATTAAATGTATCCCCTCATTTTCTTTTTTTGGTTTATTTGTCTTTTTTACCATTTTTTTATTCCCTCCCCAAAAAGTGTACAGTGTCTATATTTTTGTGTATTTTTTTTAATGAACAAATTTGACATTTTTTTTGATTAGCATACATGTTGAAGTTGTTATTATTATTATTACTATAAAACTACTATGAGAAACATAATGGGGCTACGGCGCTCAAAAGTCGTTTGAGTTGAAAAATTAAGAGCGCATCTTTGTTGCGCACATCGGTTGCTTGTGGAAACATAGAAACTATGGCCTGATGCGCATCCGAATAGGTCTAGAAATACAGGAAAATATAGATACAATACAGTCTTGTGCGTTTGAAGATTTCAACATACGCCTATGTTACGCCACGTGGGTGAATATTTTAATTTAAACACGTTCAAATCATCCGAACAAAGCTCATGTACTTCTACAAATGTGGTACATTCGGGCTCAACCCGTATGGTGACCTCAGACAATTCGGATGTATCCTTGGCGCCCTTCATGCACATAATTATATCACGTCTCGTCGCCAAACGATTCCAACTCGAACGATAGAACTTAATGAGCTTGCAGTGCAAGGCCATCACATCGTAGGTATGCTCCGCTGTGGCCAAATGTTTAATGGAGAAGTAACCATTGTCGATATAATAGCAGGCGTCGTGTTCCGCAAAGATGTTGATGTTTCTATTCCAGAAACGCTGAAAATAAATGTAAATATTATAAATTGAGATCAATAATGTCATGATCTGCTGTGAAGTAGAAGACTTAAGATCGATGATTAGATCCTTGCGAAAAGCTGACCAATACGACACGATTAGCTTAATACTGCAAAAATACATGTTATCGATACAAATTCGCATGTTCATCAATGCTGCAGCTTATAAAAAAGTTCGATTAATTGAACCAATATCGATATCATGCAACATATCTATGCATGAAGCTATAACATCATTTTTATTGTCTCAGTAAAAACAAAAGTGTTATATGATTTTAAAAATGTAACTTTGAGTTCAACAACATTTTAAAACTTAATTCAGGTATATGCCCATTTCAATAAAAGAATAATTTTAAAAGCAAGTATCATGCTTAAATAGTCAGAAAAAGAAAAACAAATTTTTTAAAATTGTTATTCAGACACCTTCCCATTGTGTCTACAGTGTAAAAAGAGTATAAAACTATAATGCATAATTTTATTAATATTACCATGCGCAGCTCCTGAAAGTCCGATACGGGCTGTTCAATATCTAAATATCGTACCGGCTTCGCCACATATTCTTTTGAGAGGTCTGTGGCATAACCACGAACTCCCTTACCCGAGACATACAGAATGACACGCACATGAAAGGTGTCCAATGTAAATATAATCTCATCGGGACTGTAAAGAAAAATCTGTTTTAGTTCCCTACAAATCCAGGTGATCTGCTACTCACTTTTCATCGCTCGGTTGCAAACTCCAGTCCCGAAATGGAAAATGATCGTATCGCTTGTAGGCAAATCCAAAAATGCCCAAACGATCCGTTTTAATGGTAATCGTTTGTTCCTCCGTGTTGAATTTCGTATCAAATATATGCTCCGTAGTCCAGTGTGTGACCTCAATCTTGGGCGGCTCGTCGTGCATTTCATATTCAGATAATACCGAGAGTCTAGAGTGCATACTCACGCTTTCTGGATCTAGAATATTTGATTTCACCGATTCGATCGCGCCTATATTCGTAGTACTAAGATTCATAATCGACCCATACATCAAAGTATGTATACTAGGTTCTTGCATTTTGTGCTTGCTTCGAGACCGAGTTGAATCTCTTCCTTTGGTAGAGCTACGCGACCTTGTTTTTGTCGATTGGGGCTCCTCCATTGTGACATCCTTCTCCTTTTTAGCACGTCGTTTGGGCTCGAAAACAGGTTGATTCATAACATTCTTATAGTTTGTCACATATTGTGACTTAATGTTATCCAACTTAGTCAGCAGACCGTACAGGGTACCTTCGTCCTCCATGTTCGCATGGACTGCCTCTTCGGGATATAAAATGGGCTCGAAATAGTCGAACACGGGAAACATTCGCTCTGGACCCTGTTGCTCCTCGTAATCAAACGTATATTGGCGAACGTCAGCAGTCAAGTTAACGTCTTCTTCGACGGGGCGACGTAGTAACCTATTTGTCTTCGATTTGAGCTCTTCATCCAACATTTGGAGCTGCTCTCTGAACTCCATCGGAAACTTAAATGAAGATATTATGCGTGGCACACAATGTCGTTCAAGATTTCGTATCTTTGTTTTTCCAAGCTGTTCCTCAAGATTAAAATCAGACAGTGGCACTATTGATATTTGACGATCTGCCAATCTACTATGACGCAACATGGTCAAAAGCGTAGAGCGGAAAATATTTGAGGGTCGAGATTCTGGTCGTTGGATTTGCGAGAAACGGAGGGGGCGCTGATCATTGTCAGTTTCCTTTTGGAGTGCTGGAGTCATTGAAACCGCATCCTTTTCATCTGCCCCTTTCTTCGCCCCTTTCTTTCCACCTTTCTTCTTCTGTGGAACAATTTCAGCAACCTGAATCTCGCTCCGATGCACATCCAGTGGCTCGAACTCTGTCATGTATTGGCAAGCCACCGGCAAACCCCACAGGCACAAATGCTTTGGCAGCTTAATGGTGACATGGAAAAATGGTAGATCATCCTCATTTAAGATAATTTTTGTGCCCGGTTCCGCATCTGGACGCAGCTGCAATCGTGACTTAGATTTCGTCTCTATGCGGCTACGACTGCGTTGGGTACCTGGAACCCCACCAACCGTATCACCCAGTAAGGGACCCAAGCGAGATTCCTCATCCTCACCGTCCCCCAAGTTAGCGACAATGTCCGACATGGTATACAAAATACGACCATCTTCGTGCAGCGTTATGTTGAACTTCTCAAACGATGTGTGCCCAGGCCGCCGCACAAAAAAAAAGGAATAATTTCCACCTAGTATAATGTATTTTCTGAGATTAATCTGCAAGATATGCAACGATATAAGCAGCCACCTTATGATCTTTGTGCTAATCCACTTACTTCATAGTGCTTTAGCGCCAGTTTCTCCGGATGAAAAATATCATCCAAGAACTCCATATACTGTTTTTGCTCGCGGACCAAAAACAAGCCATAAGTATCGGGCACCATACCCGGTGGTATACCTTGCGGCTCTTTTGGCGTCTTCGGCACATTTGTTTTTGACACTTTACCCTCACCTTTTGCCTCCTTGGCCGCTTGCGCTGCCTTCTCGTTAATACCGACCATTATCTCCTCAAACAGTGCCCGTTTTGCCAGCAATTTTGCGATAATATCCTCCTGTATCTCCAATTGCATTAACCATTCATTCACAAGACAGTCCTCAATGTCCAAAATGCCCGCGTTCAGGTCTTGCTCTTCCGTTATAACGCACTCATAGCTCTTCGCATTTTCGGTGTTTACATCGAAATGGGTGTGGACACAACGGAGGGTTAGATTATCCATGAGGACACTGAGTGGCATTTGTACGCGCGCATCAATACCCTCTAATTCGGCCATCAGCAGAGGATATCTATTTAACGAACATATTGACAATTCATTCTCATATCTATAAAATCGGATGAACTTACTCCATGTGCTGAAAACGAATGGGCACATTTCGTAGACTCCAGATTTGCAATTCAAACTCCTTACCCTTGTACACATATTGCGCAACAATGTCATCGTATGAACTGGTATAAGCGGGATAGTAATTGAAATTAAAGTAGCTACTTACTTAAATAGCCAAAATAGCCAAAAAAAACTTTCCAAAATTCTTGTGGAATTATAGTTAATGGACATGCAAAACTTGCAGTTGTAAATTGCAGTTGTAAGTACTCGTATTGTATTCGATTCTACATTGGCTGAGCTTCTTCCAATTCTAATCAATGGTATTTTATGTTGCTTTCCATCCCATTACCGATTTTAAAACTTAAGTCTCTTACTTAAATCTATCTAGGAGTATGTTAGCATACATTCTAATTTGTTAAATGAAGATTTTATAAATTAAAGAACAGCAGATTAGAGACTTTAATGTTGCCTTTTTGTTGAGCCCATGACACTTCTATCTAACATCACAAAAATTGCATCCTTACCGATTCTAGTTTAGATTTGATGATCCAAATAATTATTGAACGGAACATTAAGGAAACTGTAAAGTACATATGATCTTTCATATCGGACGAGGCAATTACAGTCAACAGAAGTGACCTCTCAATTGTGATTAAGGAACTCTAGTGAAGAGTTGATTCTATTCCTTAGCTCCATCTATACTTGTACATGCGACCCGTTTCTACTTGAGCAGGGCAACTATTTTCATTAAAACTATCTTCTACTTCCTTCCCACTCCATTATCCCCCTGCGAACTTTAGTCTCTCACCTCGTAAAAACTCCATCGGTTCGTGCAACACGATAGGTTAGGCGATCAAACATGGTATCAAGTTCTTTCGCAATTTCCGATCGCACCTGCAATATTTTCAAATAAACACACTTTCTATCAGTGTCAACACTAACTTTACCGTAATTATCTCCATTTGCGTATTAATGTCGATTTCCTCCATTTCAACTTCATTGGCCAGCTGCCGATCTATGTTTCGCAGTGTCTCTAAACACATATTGACGTCGCGTTCGAAGGACATTCCAATGTTGGGGCATGACTTCCGTAGGGTTTTACGCGACTTATCCGTGCGTCTTATGTCCTGGGTAAGTAAGCTGCGCTCATCTACTGACAATGTCCAATCCACCGTATCGTCCACATCGATTTTCTGAAAAGTTCTAATCCTTTCAAGAAAATGACGCATTTCGGCAGGAGATTTGGGATTTGGTAAACCATTGCAGCTTAGGTAGGTCTCCCAGCGATTTTCCCTGACTTGCTCAGACAGAAGCAGACTAAATTGCTCGGCGGCAGCTATGCTGAGTTTTTAGAGCAACCAATTTACGGAGCATGGAGACATTTCATGTGTTTCTTACCCTTGACAAAGGAACCGCACACTCGATTATCGTTCAATCGTTGCAAATACTTGACTTCCCGTTCCTCCATCTCTTTCTCGGATATCATTTGATATACGGGTTCCCCAGGTGATTTACCCCGTGCCCTGACCATTTTACAACTTTACTAAATATATTTTCATGTATATTCACAGTATGTATGTGTATCGTTATATGAACTTTACAACAACTAGACTGCTCTGTTTTAGTATTGAAAGAATTTCCTTGTTAACTTAAATTGTTCCTAAGAAGGTGAATTTTTCGCTCATTTTAATTATTAATTCATTCCGCTAACTATATGAAAAATAAATTGGCTATTTTCACCCTCTTGAAGATAACTTACCCACTTGAAAATTAACACAAATCGGTGTCCTTCTCTGGACTTTAAATGAGCCCCAGCACTTTTGCGACTGAAAAGTATTGAGGTTTTTACTGCGAATTGAGGTTTGAGCTTCCAGCAGATAACTAACTCCCCAAAAATAAAATACAAATCGATGTGTTTGAGCAAGACCGACCTGCCTTTCTCAGGATTTTAAACGAAACGCAGCACTTTTAAGACTGAAATGGATTCAGTTTTCCTCTGTGGTGGGGATAAATAATTGTGGGAAAATTTGAAATTTTCCTGAAGATAATTAACTCCCTAGAACATGAACTTAGTGTTCGGTCTGTTCGAGTAAGGCTTTTCTGCCCTTCTCGGGACTTTAACAAAATCGCAGCACTTTTAGGACTAAAAAAGATTGAGGTTTCCACTGTGGTGAGGATACTTTGGAATACATATTAAATGATTCCTGCATCACAGACATCTCCACCTAACCTATCCTAGCCTACCATTTTATTGATCAAAAGCAGTCATAAATCGTTTATTTTGTGAATGAAATCTATACCTTTAGCCATTAAACTAATTAATATTGGCTGTTTTATCTCGAAGTGGTTGGTATTCCATCATATTTTTATGTGCCGCTCATTCGGGATATTTATCGGAGCACAAGCCTAAAAGGTGAGCAGTAAATCTGTCCAATTAAAGCTTAATTTAATAAATTCATTTGTCGTTATTGTCAAATTTGGTTCACAATAAGTCAAGCAATTGGCAAGTAACTACATTTTGGCCCAATCTTCCAACGCAAATGGTCTATTGCCATTCGTTTTTTTTTTTTCTTCATACGATTATATTGGGTTTGCGTTTGTGTGCATATCGAGAAACAATTTTTCACTGGCCTGCCATTTTTTCCGTTTCGAATCTACATGCAAATCAGCAACAAGAGCCAAAGTAAACGGAACGACACCCAAAAGCCAAGGCAATGCACAAAACCAAGAGGCATGCCACAATGCCATGAGGAGAGCAGCTCTTGTTTTGCTTCTACGAGGAGCAGCGACAACGGCACCGGTCATAGCTTTTTACCTCTAAGTGGGTGCGGTTGTTGTTCGGCTTCGACTATTACTTGCCTAGATTTATTTTTTGCTTTTTTGGGTGTACGAGTATATAACTATGTATGTATGTATGCATGTGTATGGCTGCAGCTGCAAAACTCGCTCAACGCCTGCGCTTGTTGGCTTGCGTGCCAAAAACTTTTGACTTATTTATGCCTTTCCACCGCTTTTTGCAATTTCTATATCAGGCCGAGAGAAAGTGTAGATGATTTTGTCTGCGAGCGATAAGTAGACGCTCCGTCTAAGGGGCTGAGCCCCAAACCTAAGACAATGCCTCGTTTCCAATAAATTGATTAAATTTTATGTGGCATTGTGCTCGTCGCAGCGCAGCCATTTACATATCGTTGCTCATTTATCGAGAGGAACATTACGTATACGTAGCATGTCAACATGCGGCCGAACGACTTGATCGATTACATTGGCATTTCAACAGGCGGCTATCGCTTTATTGCTTGCGACAGACTCCTACACACACACACACACAGACACACACACGAGTTGAAGAAAGAGAAAAAAATGCAGGCCAGCATTCCTATCTACATCTTTACACACAAACCAAATGGCCTCCTAACAACTGATGATGTCTTCGAAGTGGTCTTGAGCTCTTCTCTGGTACTGGTCTGGTCCGCTTTGCTCTGCTCTGCTCCATCAGCCTGTTGCGGCTTACATTTCTGGCAAAATTCATTTGTTGCAAGTTGTCTTTTAAATAAATTTCTTGTCAAATGTCCAAAGACGTCGTTGTCGTTATATATGTACGAGTATGTATGTCCACATTGTCGTTAGATGCTGTCCATGTCCGCTGTCTCCGACCATTACATTCGTCAGTTGGGTAGCCAGGCAGGCAGTATAGCGAACATATCGGCCATGTCGGCCAAGCCGCAGTGTGGGCAGTTGTAATAAGTCACATGCCTTGACAAAGACAAAACATTTTAAATAATTTAATGAACTTTTTGCGTTTGACAGACACACACACACGCACGCACACAATTTTCGCCATTTGTTAGCCTCGAAACAATTTCGACAACTGAGAGCAGCCAAAAAATTATACAATAGTAGACTATTTGACTGACTAGTCAGATGGCTGTCCAATCGTTTCAAAGAAATGGGTATGCCAGGGGAATAGCTTTGAGTCTATGAAGAGTTAAAATATAGTTAGAATATGGTTTGTAACAAACTTGCACTGAGTATAGATAAGACAAGCTTGTTGTTCCTAGCTGATATGGCTTAATAGTTCTCGGTTCATCATGCTAGGCATTTCCCATTTCCCACCTCTAAAGTTCAAATTATAACGTGCTATAAGCAGCATCATATAGATATATAAAAATGGATGTATGTATGTATGTTCCCTATAGACTATAAAACTGCTCCACCGACTCTGATCAAATTTTGTGGCAATTTTCAAAAATCTTTGATAGAGTCAAGTATCATGTCTTTGGTGAGACATGCTGGTGGATGTGTTCAGTGACGTTGCAGAAACGCAGATTGCCACATGCACATATTCCTATTTGGATAGTCGAAAAAAGCATACCTAATTAAATATATGATGTGCTATCAGAGCATGATTTATGGGACCGTAAAGCGTTTAATAGCAAATCAAACGGGTATTTAGCTAGGAAACATTAATTATTATATATATTACTATATGTACACCTAATTCTCTTTTTAAATGGTTTTGTTGTATCACGGTTTGAAAATTTAAAATTTGATATATGGTTACACGATTTTAAAACTTTGGTTTAACAATGTTTCACAAATGTCGGTTTAATTCAAATTTCACTAAGCGTCCTTCCTTGACTGGTCAATATCAATTGACCTCTTACTTCCCTGCTATCGGTTACTATCGATTATTGATTACTTATCACTATTTAACTATTCAATCACTATTCGGTCACTGCTTAATTATTGTTAGTGATTAGGGGTGTTCTACTATCCCATTCCTACAATATGATGTCTTTTTTACAGGATTTTTTTTTTTAACGACTTTTTTGGGAACCAATCCGCCAATTAGGTGTATATATTTTTAATGAAATCTGCATTGACAGATTTATTAATCAAATAAATTATGAAAAGATATGAACCTCCTTCTGCCTGTTATAGTATATATGTGCCGTTCATGGTAATTGATTAAATTATTTATTTATTTTATTTATTTCATCGACAAACAATGCAGTCGATGTAAAAGAAAAGAGAAAAAAAATATATACATATATATATAAAATCATTACAATAGAGAACTTAAACTAAAGAAATAAAAAAGCCTGTAAAAATGACAAAAATATCTAATAACGAATCCGACACGGTGGGGAATTTTATTTGCCAAACGGCCAGCTATGCCCCGATTCACACCAGAGAGTAGTCAGAAGAATAATTTTTCTAATTTGCCGATCTAGTTTAGAGCCTAACGGAAAGTTCGTAAAAATCTTTTTATTAATACTTAATAGCAGTTTTCAAATTTGCACACTTCTCACTATATATTGGAAAATTGTTCTGGCAGTCAGAGTGAATCAAAATTTAATAGGTTTTCACACCAACGCGTATTGAAATTGTGTGCAATTTATTGGGTGCAACATAACAACAACAACGGCAACACGTAGTTGAAAATGACGAGCAAATCATTGAAAGCCCATGCAATCATTCAATTATAATTTGCAGGCAATGAGAAGCACACACACATACACACTCACACACATACTCGCACATATATAAATATGCACTTAATGCTGTCAATGATGTACATGAGCCAAAGCAATTTCTTTGCAACGAATTGCCGGATGACTTTTCAAACAAGCAACTGCAACTGAATCACTTCAACTGCCACAGCACCAGTAACAACAACAGCACGTAGTTGACGATGAATTGTTTGCCATGTGCAACTTAACGAGTTCAGTGCAATTTTGTTGTTGTTGTTGTTGTTGTGGTTGTTGTTGCTGGCAACTCAAAGCCAAAATTGCAAGCGCAACAAAATCGAAGCAGCCGCTGCAGGCGAAAATAATTGACATCTGTATAAGTTTGCTATTTGATTTGCAACGATAGCAAGTGTGGCGAACTCAACTAAAGCCAAAGCCAAAACCGAAGCCGAAGCCGAAGCTGACTCTGAAGTCCAAGTGGAAGTGGAAGCTGCAGCCATAGCTATAGCTATAGCTCTATGGATGAAGCTGATGTTCATGGAGCGACCGTCCATATGGGGGATGCAGTGAGAAAACGTCGCGAAATGTCTGCAAGTTTGTCGTTGCCGTAGTATGCGCCTGCCACGACTGCCAGTCTATTTTTCACCTGCCTGTGCATTGTGTGCATTACATTAGATTGTATTTCAAATTCGAAAAATTACGTCGAAATGAGCATGAAAGGTGAGGGGCAATCAACAACGAAATTGTTGTACGTGGCAGCCAAATTATGTGGAAGTCTACGCTCCACAAACGAGCACACACTCGTATATGGGAGGGCGAGCTGCCTAGAAAGTGAGCAGATTTGATGACTCTACTTGTATGCCACATGCGAGTTATGACCATATTAGCAAGAAGTTAACCCATTCACATGTGCATCTGAATTCCGAGAAAAAGAGCACAGCTATTTCCACATTTCACAACCCACAGAGTAGTAGTTATGAAAATATTTAAACATTTTGTTGCATGTTGCTGGGAATGTTTCAAATAATCGAACGCCTTATTTTCTACAAATTTCATTTCATTTAATTTTCGCAAAAAAAAAAAAAATAATTCTATAAATATTTTTTATTTGCT